TCTCCCCCCCCCCCCACACACACACACACACACACTACTAGAGCCTTCTGAGCTGAGCAGATGGGGAGACCAGAACCCAGCCTCTACCTCCTTTGTGGTCTTTCACCTCTGGCCACTGAGACAACAGAGGCACCCAGCCAGGGCCAATTGGAACCCTCCTTTCAGCACCCATCACCCAGGCCCCTTCAGTGTCATTGCTAATTATTCCACCCACCCACAGCCCAGGAGTCCTATGGTGGCTGAGTCCTTAGCATCAGCAGAGCCTTCTTGTCTAAAACAGCGTGCCTTCTTTCCTGAGCCCAAGGAAACGGATGGAGCCACAAGGCAGGCAGGCCTCCTGAAATCTGGGGCACCTTGAGCAAGACCCTCCCTCTCTGGGATCCCCGGTCCCCTTCTCTATGAATTGAGTGCAGCCAGTGCTGCCGGCTCATGGGGCTCCAAGATGGCATGTGAGGAAGTTCTGCAGCCCCCCTGTGCTAGGCCAGTGCAGCCCGTTAGCAGGCGCTGTGGGGAGTGGAGAGGGGGCCCCGTCCCCAGGGGGAAATGCTGGGCTAGCAAGCTCCACCAGGTTTGCTTCCACAGGACTTCTCAGCAACTTTAACTGGCCAGTGTGTTGTGGATCCCAGAAGCTGAATTCTCAGCCTTCCCCAGTGTCTTCAACTGCAAAAGCTTTTGGTCAAAGAGTTCCTTTAAAGATTGGGCGACAGCCCAGGCGGCGTGGCTCAGGTTGTTGAACTTGGGCCTAGGATCCAGGAGATCATGGTTCAATTCCCGGTCAGGGCACATGCCCAGGTTTCGGGCTGGATCCCCAGCAGGGGACATGCAGGAGGCAGCCGATCAGTGACTCTCATCATTGATGTTTCTATCTCTCTCTCCCTCTCCTTTCCTCTTTCTGAAATCAGTCAATCAATCGATCAATAAATAAATAAAGATTGGGTGACAATAGCTGATCCAGTCACCTTCTCAAGCTGATGTGACCAGGAGGGTTATGGCCTAGCAGCCACTGGAGCCTGAGCAGCTGCTGTGACAGAAACAGAAACCGGAGAGACAGTCGGGACCCACCCAGAGTCAGACTGGGGTCCTCATTCTCACCTCCTTTCCCGCTCAAATGAGGGCAGAGTGGAGAGCTGGGGAAAGCAGGTTTGCTGCACCCCACGATGGAACTGGGAGGGGTGGGGGACCCCTGAATCCTCTCTGCTGTTCACCCCAAACCCCAGGAGGCAAATACATTTACACACTCCCCCCACACACACTCATTCACACCACTAACTTATACACAGTCACACTCACTGTTTCACACTCTCAGACACTCACAAATTCACACACACACACACAAACACCACCTTTATTTCTGCCCTTTGTGGAAGCCACTGAATGCCAATCTAAGGAGCATGTGATTTAAGCATTTGCAGCACTTTTTGTCTCTTATTTTTATTTACTGAAAAAAGTAATCAGACTAGTAAGAAAAAAATAAATGAAGCCACTTATAAGTTCACCGAAGAAATGTAAATAAGCCTGTTAAACATTTACAGGAATATCCATTTACACTTTTAAATGCATATGTTTATAAACACGCATATGTTTACATGTAACTATATATGGTTAAAAAACACTTTTAGACAGCTTTTTAAATTTAACAAAACTATGAGGAACATCGTTTCATGTCAGTAAATTTAGATTTCCTTCATCATTTCCACTGGCTGCCTAACGCTGTACTTAAGGGATGAACCACGACTGGAGTCGTTTGATTCTGGGACTCAGGTGTTCACGTTGATGCCTCCGGTGCCTCATGGTCTCAAGGTGGCTGCGGAGGCTCCTCCAGACCGCAGGGCCTCATCCCAAGGGAAAAACAGAGTAAAGCAAGAAGGGGTGGGACCAATGTAAGAAAAGCAAATCTTGCCTAGAAACCTTCAGCTTACATCTCAGCTGCCACCCCTAGCTGCAAAGAACGAGAGAAAAGGAAGCCTTTTGCTGGACTCTTGTTGCCACTTTGAACAAAACTGGGGTTCGGCCTGGAAAAAAGGAGTAGGAGTCGGGTCGGCAACAGCAGGCCTGGCTACAGGATTTCTTGTTAAAAGACATTTTAAAGGAAGAATTGTTAGGACTTCGTAGCTAATTGGACACAGGACACAGAAGAGAGAAGCAAAAGTCTGACAATATTTGGGTCCCGGGAGGCTGAGGGGCTGGTCATGAAGCAGAGAAGTTAGGAAAAGGAGCTTGTTTGCGAAAAGCTGAATTTGACGTCCTGCCTCGGTGTCCAGCCCTATGTGGGCCGCGTGAGGGCAAGGCTGCCTCTGCTATCAGGGTCTCCTCACCATGCCTAAAACGGCCCTCAGGCCAAATGGGCGATTGATGTCAAACTCCATTCACCTCCTACAAGGAAACCAGGGTTCAGAGAGGTCTAGTGAATTGCCCAAGGACACACAGCTCCAAAAGGATAGGTCTGAGGATCTGAACCCAAGCCCATCAGACTCCAGACCCCAAGTCTCTCCCGCCTACTCCATCCACACTGTTCCTGTCTCTAGGTTTCCAGCGCAAAGCTGCTACCCCTCTTGCAGTCAGCTCATACAGTGTCCCCCTCCTGTCATCAGGCCTCCTCTGCTCTAAGCTCTGGTGAATACTTTGGTCAAATGTGTGAAGACCACATTAATTAAGCGGAAAAGGCCCCGGAAGGTGACGCCTTTCTTTGTTGTGGGGTACTTGGTGAGACCAGATATTATAGGAAGTTCTTGTCTGGAGGGTTGAGGGGTACAGGACATAGCCCCCATAGTCCCCAACCTTCACCCAGGCCTCGGGGTCCCATGTGAAGAACACCTGGGCAGATCCTACTGTCTTCCTACTCGTGGGGTCTGTGGACTGGCACATGGCAAGTCAAGCCCAGGCCCCCAGGAGTTCCTGTGTGAAAGTTATCACTTTCTGTATCTTCTGCAAGAACCCTTTGCTTTGTCAAAAGTCATAGAGATCTCCTCTTGTTATCTTCTAGGAGTTTTATAGTTTTGATTTTTACATTTTGGTCTATGATTCATCTCAAGCAAACTGGGTAGAGGTTCCATTGTTTCAGATCAATTTGTGAAAATATTTTCCTTGCCCAGGTGGGCATGACTCAGCCGATGAACATCGACCTGTGGGATCCAGGCGATTGGGGTTCGATTCCAGGTCAGGGCGNTCCATTGTTTCAGATCAATTTGTGAAAATATTTTCCTTGCCCAGGTGGGCGTGACTCAGCCGGTGAACATCGACCTGGGATCCAGGCGACTGGGGTTCGATTCCAGGTCAGGGCACATGCCCGGGTTGCGGGCTTGATCCCCATATTGGGGCGTGCAGGAGGCAGCCGATCAATGACTCTCTCATCACTGATGTTTCTCTCTCTCCCTCTCCCTTCCTCTCTCTGAAATCAATGAAGATATATTAAAAAAAAAAAAAAAGAAAGAAAATATTTTCCCTTTGGCACCTTGGTCAGAAATCAACTGACTGTATAAATGTGGGCCTATCTGTGAGCTCTTTATTGGAGCAACTACTACATCCATCACCATCACAATAAAGCAATACCATTTTTATTTTATTTTTT